TTTTAGAAATAGTCGAAAAATTGAGCTTTCAATTCATATAGTGGCATCTGGCTGTTTTTTTTAAAGGTTACTTTTTACTTTTATACTTTAAGTAGTTTTTGGAGCACAAACTTTTTCACTTTTACTTGATTAAAAAGGTCAAGTTGATACTTTAACTTTTACCAGAGTGTTTTTAAACTGCAGTATCTATACTTCTACTTAAGTAACAAATGCGTGAACTTTTGACACCACTGGTAATTAGATGCGCTTGAAATAAGGCAATGCTGTTGCTTTTTTCTTATTTTAAATGTAAATTATTTGGTTCCATTGGCAAAGTGTCTCACTTACCTCCTCAATTCAAGAGAAAATGCACTTATTTTAAGAAAAATACTGATCTAATATAATTTCCCCCCCACTATATGTTCCTTGGTCTTCATGCTGCTTAATGCCGTTTTGGGCTAAGAGGAATAAGGGGAGCTGATTCAAATGCTGGCTGTGTTTGGGTGTTCAGATTTCAGCTACCTGGTCAGGTGTATTTTGACAGAGATATCAGAGGCTGAACCCCAGAGGTTATCTGCCCAAAGATCAGTTATTGCAGCTCAGACAGAAAAGTAAAGGTCTGCACTGACTGTTACATTTCCTTAACCTATAGGAATACAAGACCTCCCCCCAAGCTAGGCTACAGCTCCCTGTGTGTGTATTCTGGATAGCCCTGAATGTTTTTTTGGATTTTAATACGTTCACTGATAAAATGTTGGTTTCTGCTTCTGCCGTCTGGGTTTCCCTGAAGGGGAACTGGTGTCATTTCTTCTTTTTGTGATTGTTTTTTATTTGACATTACTGTGTGTGAACTTGTACTTACTGCAAAGCAATGACATTTTTTGTGCTTTTTTTGTCAAAGTGAAAGCTATGATGGAGAGTAAGGACGTGCTTTTGGAATTAAGGATTAATTGTGATTGGTTAGGTTTAGGGTGCCTTAGGCTGCAGAAAGGGTAGAAAACAAATGGAAGTGAATGCAAAGTCTTCAGTCTGTAATTAAAACTAAGATTCTTATGCGTGTGTGTGAGAGATGCTGCTGTAATTTCTGTTGGCTCTCTGTAGGTCATATTCAGCCTAGTCATGGGAGGGCGCAACAGAATAGAGAACAGAATTGATTGTGAGCTTTAAATAAACACTCCCTCCTCTCCTCCAGCTGAGTCCACTAGACATCTATCTACCCCTCACGTCACTCAAACCAGCTGCCTGCATGCACCGCCATGGTCGGTTTGTGTGACAGCAGCCCTGGCAGCATCCATCATTAAACACCTCATTGCTCTCTTTCTGAACCTGGGATCTGGATCAAGAGATATAATTAATAATTAGTGCAGACTAGGGCAGCGTTTTTCCTCTAAAGAGGCTCATCTTTCATAACCTGACTCCGGCAGATAGATTTGCTCCGCATATCCATCTGGAAACCTTCC